GATGGTTGGTTAAGATTATATCCAAACCAGTCATAAGTTACCAATGAATCAGTAATAGAATATTTTGGGCTGGTATACAAAAACATGTCTTGCTCCATATTTAGTTAGCTTGGATCCTCTTGTGGTTCAACAATATTTTACAAAAACAAAACATTTTCGACTTCAAGCAGAGTCCAGTTTCCTTAATAAAACTTTTAGTGCAAGAAGGGCAAAGAATTTAGTCAATTTACGGCTTCATTCCTCTAAGAGCAGTAAACAGACATACATCTTGCCTTCTCTGTGTCAAGACTTCCCACTGTCATTTATTTTGATTATCTAATAGCTGTTGTGATAATAAAAGCATGGTGTGCAGCAGATGAATCATAATATCAGCTCCTAGTCATGGTAATTGTCTCTGCATTTCCAACTGTGAGAAGAAAGGATTGAGGTGTTCAGGTATGGAAACTTTATCCTTCTTAGTTGGAGTATTTTCCATTTTTCTCAGGTAAGTTTGCAATTTGGTTGAAATATTGCTGTGGAGAAACATCATGGCACAGCTTTAAAACAATTAGTGGTTAGGAAAAATATTTAGAAAAACCTTGAAAAACACACCTCTGCCTTAACAGTGTTAGTTTGCTATAGAAACATTAATGTATCATATCTATTCTGTGTTTTCATGGATATATTAACAATGATGTCATTGTTTCCATATGTGTGACAGCTACATAAAGAAGTATCTGGAAACTGAGGTGTTCCTAAAGCTAAAAACCCCATAACTAAATAAAACACCCTGCTAAGGTGACACAGAAAATACAAGTAATCAATGTTCAGCAATAAATAAGCCCAAGTGAACTAAAGTCAACTCTATGGCCTCATTTAGAGCCTGATCTTGTGGCTTTGGCACTTATTTAATGTTTTGCTCTTATTGCATTTATCATTCATAGTTTAGGAAATGCTTTACAAAGTCTGTGATTCAATCAGTTCATTGCAGGTAGAAGGAATGGAGCCCTGACTACAAATATTGCCTTTATTTTTAGGAAGACATGGCTGCTTTACAAATATATACCTCTTATAACTGAATGTATTATTGTTCTCCTCTACTCTTCTAGGCTCAGAAGTGGAGGAGAGCTGTGTGAGAACCTTGAATTCAGGACTAGCACTGAAAGAGCTAAAAAACCAATCAGTACCACACTGTTGAGAGAACTAATAGTGTGCTGAGCCAAGACAGCTCAGCCCATGCTTTTTCCTTGGAACATCATCCTAGATTGCATTAAAATTGACCTTCAGTGAAGATTCTTTTAAAATGGAAACAAAGAAGGTCATAATTTAGTTTACAAAACATGCTCAAATGTTTTTAACAGGAAAATCCACATGCCAGTTTTGAGGGATTCATATCGTTTCTCTTGCTCGGTTCTTGCTTTGTTAATGAACCGGGCCTATTTCAGCCATGACTAAATCTTATGCAAGGAAAGAACATTTGGAAGGATGACACATGTGGTTAAAAAAACAGGAATGAGTTTCTGGAGTCCTGTGTTTAATTCCCAGCATTGCCACAGACTTCCTCTGTGACTTTGAACAAGCCACCACATCTTTGTGACTAAATTCACTGTCTGTAAACTGATGCTAGTAGAATTTCTCTCCTTTAATGGCAAGTTGTGAGGAGAACATATATTTGCTATCAACTACAGCTGCAGAGGACTTAGATTTTTAACTTTCTAAAACATGTGAATACAAAAGAATTATTTAAAGATGTAGCCAGTTTCTATGGGTTATTTTGATAATTGGGAAATGCCACAGAGTATTTGGAGTTGTTTGCATCAGCAGTCTGTGGTACTTTGGCACCTCCTCCTGTCGGACAGCACACAACATAGTTTCCTACCTGTGAACTTGAGTCTTAGCCAGTGACAATAAACCTACGACAGATGTGTCAGAGTCAGTTAATAATGCTGCTCTGAATACATTGTGGGAGGACCTATGGTGTAGATTGCAGTAGTGATGGACCTCAGGGAAATTTAATTAACAGAGAGGCCTGGCCCTCAGGTGCTGTAAGAGACAAGGGATGCAAGCCTAGTGGATGACATCCAGCAGGGCAAGTGACAGAACTGTGCAATGACAGAAAGATAACTTATTCCAGGTATAAAGGCAATCTGTTCCAAAACTGATATAGGACATTTTTTTTTTTTGTCCCCAAGCCTACATCTTAAAGAGAAGAAGGCCTCTCCAGTAGTAAATATGGGCACACTGAATTCACATAAAACCTTTGCTCTTCTGTTTTCTGAACAGTTAAACAGTGAGTTACATTTGCCAAGGTGCCTGAAAAATACCCTTGTTTATCTAGCCCAAACCATATTCATGGCTGAATATATTTGCACTGACATTTGTCATACTTATCCAGACTGTTTTTTAATGTGGTCAAGCGCTGTCCACAGAGAGCATCAGTAGACTGTGGTGGGCAGCTTGTAATTCTCCTTGGGTCGCTGGCCAGGCTCTCCTTACAAAGAGGGATGGGGAATGACAGTTGCCCTTAATCCAGTCACTTAATGTTCTTTTTCCTCAGGCAACAACACAAAGGGAGGTAAAAATGCATCTGCTGTGGAATATATTCTTCTTCCTCTCTGTGAGGCAGCGGACAGGGAACAAAGATTAAACATTTTTTAAAATGGCTGCACTACTTATTTTCTTCCTCCCATGTCAATGAAATTTGGGCAAAATTAGCCATCTGACTTCTGGCTTTCCAGGCCACTACACACAACACAGAAACAAAGCTGTGGCTGTGGTTGGTCTACTTGACCTCACAAGCACCAAGAGACAAAATAAGATTTGCGTAAGTCAATCCCACACTCCAAGAAAGGCAGTAACTTGTAACACAGGAGGAAGAGGATGCGGAGTTGGTGGGATGGGTCTGCCTGTTAGAAGGTGATGGGTTTTATTTCATATTCTTCCAAATGCTGTAATCCATTTAAAACCATATCAGGCAGCTATTTTCCATAGTGAAATGGGAAAATATTTCATAGGTGCCACCCCTGTCTGTATTTTGTTGGTTAATTCCACAATATCTCTAACACTGAGTAATTATAGGCTTCCAACAAAAATAATCTGAGAGGATAAGATTCTCTGATTTTTCTAGTATGACTAGAAGCCACAAATATAAAATATTGCATAAGAGACTTTAGACTGCAGAAATCTTAACTTTTGGTCTGTAGGGATATGATGTTTATATAAGTTCTTGGTAAGAGCTGGAACGTGCTGGGCCTTAATTCTTCCACTTTGTGTGGTGAGAAGAAAATCTCGTTAAAGTGAAATACCTGTTCTTTGGAGGTCTGGGTTTTTTTATCTGTTGTATTTTCAAAGTTTAAAGTACTTATAAGCATTTTCTTATCGCTAATATAGAGTATCTAGGCTTCCTTAAGGGTGTAAAAATTAATTCTGATTTCATCTCATTTAAAAAAAGATCATCTCAACAAAATCTGTGATATAGGTGCTTTTTATTATGAAAGGATCTCAAATGATTGCTATAATCTTATTCTGTATGTTCTCAGCTCCACTATGTTTAAAAACCTTTTTTTATTTTTACTTCTGAAGTGTAGTAGCCTCTTCTATTGTTGATCCTTCATTGACAATGGTATGTGTGACTGTCAGTACAGCCTCTTTGGGGATTTTTTGGTACTGTGCCAGCTGTTGCAGGGTCTTCGCTCACTGAACTCAAATAAAGCCTCTGCAAATTCTTCTCCATTGGATTTATCATCCCTAAGAATTCCTTATGCTATCAAGAAATGTCACACATGCAGATCCACAGCAGAAAGGGATTAATTTGTTCTACTGCAAGTACAAGGATTCTTTTGCATTCCATGGGATTGATGGGCAATCTTTTAGGACACACTTAAGAGCTAGTTGGTGTGGAAGGCAAAGAACAGCAAGGAACATGTTTTCTGCACAAAGAAAACAGAGGCCACTTAGAATGTAACACAGAACTTGGAAAAATTACATTTTATTCTTGTAAATTGTCTGGTTTGGATCATGGTTTGTTGACCCCTTCTATCCACTACTAGATAAACATAGAATTTTTCTTTTCAGATTCAAGAGTTTTTTGTTTTGAAAAAGTCCTCATAATAATTGGAATTAAATGGCTTCCTAATGGCTTTTTTCCTTGGAAAACAATGGTTTAAATTAAAGGAAAACTGTTTTTGCTCAACATACAAACAAACATACAAGAGTTCCATAAACCCCCAAAGCTGGGAGGAAATAGAGCTGCCAGTGGTTTGAGAAAACCACTTACAGGTTCTTATGTCCCTATGGAAAGTGTTTTTTTCTCATTAGACTGGCTTGTTAAACCCTTGTATACTCCAAATGTGTACTATTTAACTTTTTACTTTTAGCATGATTCCTCTTTTTAAAGATGACAGTATTTAAACCTAGCAACATGTTGTTTTAAGATCAACAGTTTCACAAGAGCAAAATCTGCCTCCCAGACTCAGCTGCCTGCCTTCTTTCCCAAATACTTTGTTCTGAAGGAGCTGATGGCAGTGATAAATGTAAGAGAGTTAGATCTCTGCAGTTATTGTCAGCAAGTTAGCTTTATGGCTTGGGGATTAGACCTTTGATGTCTTATCGAGTTTCTGCACTGCGTGAATCAGTTGCTTACTTGATTTAAATTCTAAAAAGAAATGCTCTGTTGTGATATTGTCTCATACTGTGTCTTCGTCATTTGAGATGCCCTCTGTGTTCTTTAGTTCCCTAGGAAGGGAAGGCAACAAGCCATATGGAGGGTGGCCCGTTGCCTGCCGATCGTGATAGGCATTAAATAGAGTTGCATAGAAACTCAGATATAGAAAAGCCCTGTTTAGCCGAGCCTTTCTGTCCCCCACAAAGGGAGATTGTACCTTAGAAGTCTGCAACACAACATCCAGTACTGTTTAACTTTAGTGTTTGAGGGGGTCCCCCTATTCCTTCAATAAACTATTTCCTTTTCACTGAGGTAAGTGCTTGTTATGAAGTTTTCTTTTTCACATCCCCCCGTGTCAATGCAGCTGGACTGGTGTGGAGAGCTGGTAGCTGCTTCAGCAGTTGGTGATGGGAGATCAGAGGTGAGCTGGAAAGGAGGTCCCCCTTTCATGATTTCAGGGACAGGAATTTTACCCTGGAGATGACTGTTTCAGACCATCTAGAAGCTCATTTTCAGGGTTTTCTATGTCCTATGTGCTGCATTAGGAGACTTCTGGCCTTTGTTACAGAGGTTCAGCTTAATGCTTCTTGTTTTGAGTTATAGATCATTGCCTTTAGTTTTATTGTTTTAAGCTACCTCAGACACTTTAAAGGGTACGTGCTGATATACTTATGTCCTAAAATAAACCCCTTAAATATAGAAATGTTGACCTGATTTAGATTTTATTTGTATTTTAAAATAGTTTTTCAAGATTTTGGAAGCCAAAGTATTTTTCAAATAAGCAGTCTTTGAAATACATTAAAAAGTAAAACATGTCCATTTTCCCAGATTGTAGCTGAGCTTATAAAAGGCACCAACCAGACAGATTAGCTGTGTGAGAGGAAACTGGCTAACAGGATGGTTGTACTAGTCCACTTATATTCTGAAAGATGGGTCAGCACCTTTGAAAAGCTTAAGTAAACTAGTGGATAATTCAATACATAGACAATACATCCCACTGTTTCTCTGTTTATTTTCTCCTTGTGTGACTTCTGGCAACTGAGAGGAAACACTATAAATGACAGCAACCCGCCAAAGAAAAGATTATGAATAACAATACCACAAGAATGAAGGGCATAAAGTTACCAGTGACTTGGGAAAAATACAGAACACTGGACTCATGACACTTAGCAACTAGTGGATTGCTGTGCATGCATACCTTGAGATTAGAAACCCTTTCAATTTGAGTTTCAACTTAAATTTATGCTAGTTTTGTCTCTGGTAACCAAAAGCGTGAATATCTGCAGGTGTTTGACTCTGCTGAACCATTCAATAAAATGGCTGAGATGTCTCTAGTTACCAGTTGTGCGTACATACAAAGGGTAGCACCTTGTTGCTTTGAGCACTGTACTGATTGTCATGTTTTGCATCCCAATCTACAGTTCAGTTTTCGGGCAATGCATACCCTTAGTTTAGATACCATTTAAATTTTTTGATGTTGCAAAATGAAAGAAACCATTTGTTAACCATATTAATCTTGAGTTCAAAATAACTATAATAAAAATCACGGCAGATTTCCTTTTTATCCCTGAAAAATCAGATAAAATGTTTTTTGAAAGAAAGAAAGAGTAGGAGTCTATTTGTCCTGTGGTGCACTTTTATTACTCCTAAATATCTACAGTATTGAATGTGTTGGCTGTTTTCTTCTACAGTGACTACAATAGGCTCTGTTTGCAAAAATAAGTGGTTCCATGAAATATGGAGGAGCCCTCATCTTGGAAGGGAATGAATGTAGTCAGATAAAGGGTGTTTTAGTGCCACTGATGATCTTTGTCATGTTTTGACAATTGAGACTATTACTTTATTTTTAGTTGTATGGGATCAATGCCAACAAGTTGTTCATACATTGTTTCCAGTGCTCAGACTTTGCAGCTTCTGGCATGGCTCACTTCTAAGTGAGTGCTTTGTGCTTGCAAAGACAATACTGTAGAAGCAGTCAAATGGGTCAGTGAAAGGTTCTTCTGAAAGGGTAATTCACCGGGGCTAAGTGCCACTCAATAGGAACCAAACCTGCTCCTATTGGTGTCTGTGTATTTATCTCAGTAGGGCTGGAACCAGATCCTAGAACTGAGCTATTCAAGGGAATAGCCCTTCAAGAGGTATGATGCACTATCTTTAAGTTTCTTTGTAAGACAAAGTGAGAGCAAAAAGAGTAGATTTGGACTGTTTGTTTTTGTAGCATTTTCTGGCATTCATATGTAATAAATTGACGTCTATCTTTTTGTCAGAGCAAGAAAGAGCATGTGTCACAGTTTGCTTTGATATCAGCTCAGTCCTTCCTAGTTTACATGGTTGACCAACTTAGATGTTTTGCCTTTTTTAGTAATTTGTGAAGCAGCAGTAAAAAGAAATGATGGATGTGCTGGCATTCATTCCACTCCATCCCTCCATCAATACAGCAAAGTAGAGGTCACTTAAAAAAACACCTGTTAAAGCAATAAACATTAAAAAATAACATGCCAAAGCAAAACATATCAATCAAAGCACAACTCTGTTTAATAATTTTCTGTGCTGGTCATAACAAGAGGAGACTGTATTTTTGGCAGTGAAGTTCCAAAAGCTCTGAGGCACTCTGGAGCACTGAGGAAGTAAAGCACAACACTGTTCTAATTGATAGGTAGGTAACTAGAAGCTGACTTTGAGTACTGATCCGTGAGTGATTAAAAAAATAACAAACACCACCACATCAGAGACAGCAAACTCAAACCCCACCTTCCCACTCAGTGAAATTGCATACGCTAGTTGTTGATTTCAACCATCCTTGCTAAAGTTTATAGGGAAAGAGGTCGATATCATAAGTTACACATGAAAAGTTACATGAAATATAGTGAGGCAAAGGTGATAGTGGTGGGTGTCTGTTCAAAGGTTTAACAGGGTCTTTTTCAATAAAACAGTCTCAGAACGTACTTTAAGAAGCTTAACCTTAATGGTGATGTCCTGTATGTCTGTAAAAAGAAGTCTCAATTTTAAGTAGGCAGGTCTGAGTTTGTCATGAAACAATCATGAAGGACTGTTTTGCTTCAGTGGGACAGCACAAGATGAACTAATCTGTTAAAGATAGGTTAAATACAGCACTTATACAGAGTTGTAATTTTGAAGGTATCTGCTGGTATCATTGCAAATAGCAACAAGGATAAGGAGAACTTAGGTTTTCCATACCATTCAGTGCTAGAGCTGAATGCTTTCCCATGGCACTGGGATGAGAGTGGAGTTTGTTCTGTAAAGGTACCTTAGAATCATAGAATATGCTGAGCTGGAAGGGGTCCATCAGGGCCACCTTCTGCTTCATTCCTAGGGAGAAGAGTGGTGAAATGATTATTGAAAAAATCTGTGGTGTTTTAATGAAGTAGAGTAACTGAGACAGAATAGATGATTTAGGTGCTCTCTAAGGCAGACTATAACTTGTGGTTATTTAAACATCATTGCCTTTGTTTGAAATACACATGGGAATATGACTTTGCATATTAGAGCCTGCATGTGTGGATATATATACACACAATGGTATGTGTATATAGATAGATATAGATATACACATACATATGTATTATTATTGTCTAATTCATTTTCCTATTGTAGATAAGCCTGAAGAGAATGAAATATTCCTAGCTTGGAGGTTTCTACATCTGCCTTTCAAGGAGCTATCAGACAGAAACAGCATGGCTACATAAATCACTATAAATCAACACATATTTCAACAACACAAAGCTCTTAGCACAGAGACACTTTAGAACACACTGCTCCATAGTTTGTTCACAGACCTCCCATGCCAGCAACAGGGAAGTGAGACCGTTGTATTCAATGTCTCATAGTAGTCAGATGCAAAATAAAGAAATTGCCTTTCAAAGCTATAGTCTTCACTAGGCTTTCCCGAGCCAGTGATGTCTAGCACCCTTCTTTTCTCTTTTGCTTATTTTTCAGGCCTTTTTGGCTTTCAGCCTTCCAAGATGAGGTGTTAGTCTCCTGTTTTGCAAGCAGTGTTGAATTTCATTTTACATTCTGAAACAGTAGTTTTAACTTCATCAGAGGGACACTCTGCATATATAAGGGTCCACAAAAAGTAACAAATTAAAAACCTGTTGTCACTGTGCTTGAATATCTAGTGACAGTAGAGGGTATATAGGTCCAGTGAAAATTGAAGGAGTCTATAAATTGAAGAAAGGTTGAAAACCTCTGAAGAACTACCCAAATCCATGAACCTGAAGGTTTGTCTACTTCATAGTGTACAGACTTCAAACTGGTCCCACAGAAGAGGATGGAGTTTCTATCCACAGACAGAAAAAGCAGTTTCTTGGTCTTTAGCTTTAGTAAGAAAACTTAGATTAGGGAAAAGCAAAACTAGGTTTAGCACAGTTATGAATTAGGCTTTGTGTGCAGCCTGTTTGTATTAAGGATATCTCTACAGGACTGCAAGAATTAGAGACAAGCTGACCTGAATTATTATTATTATTATTATTATTATTATTACTAATAATAATAAAAATAATAAAGAAGTTGGGTAACACTGCCCTGCCTTGCTCAAATTAGTCAGACAGTAGCCTCTGACCAAAGACAATCCACAGCTGTGCACTGTATTGTGAAAAGTAGAATAGAACATTACTGCTTTAAAGGCTTTGAGCCAGATTCAAAAACTAATCTCTACCCCCTCAGCCTAAGTGCATCTGTCATCAGCTTTTCTTCCAATGGAGAGAGATGTCAACACCCTCCATGACCAGACTGTAACACTGGTCTTGACTCTTCTGCTTTCTTTGACTGGCAGTTTAACTTGTAGATGTATCCAGTTTTTGACTCTAGCCAAGCCACTTTTTTCTCACAGTGCACTTTGTGCTCTGCTTGTGTGGAAGAAGAGTTTCTCTGCACTACAGAGTGTAGGTTCACAGATTTGTGCATTACAAATGCACAAGTGTGCATGTGTCTCAGGTTTATCTGAAGACCTTTTCTGTCCCAGCAATGATTTAGCTGCAGGATGTAGACCAGAGGGAATGGCACTGAATCCCTGCATAAGAGTCAATAGTGTAAGGTAAAGAGGAGATATGTGTTATGCCATAGCAGTGAATAAAGTTATATATATATATATATTATCTTGGTAAATAGTTTAATATCACAGTAAGAAAACCATCAAATTTCCGCTCTTGAGGTATCAGAAAAACTTTCTCATTGACTGCAACACGTTGCTTGTGGTTGAAGAAATAAGCATCCTGACTGTCCACAGCCCAGATGTGGGACCAGTGACAAAAATAAAGCTGAAAGATAAACCAAGCAGAAGACAGAGGAAAGAAAAAGGAACATAAATATTTTCTCCCAGTTTTTTTTTTTTTTTTAAGCAGGTTCTCAGGTATCCACTACTTCATATCCTGAACTTCAGTAAGAAAGGTATGAAAGATCACTGGGACCATCTGTGATACAGGGAGGCACATTTCAAGCAGTATGAAGAGTCTTTGGGGAGTGAGACACTGAAGGAAAATGCTGAGATTCCATGAGGCCTGAAACATATGAAAGTAAATAATATTCCATCAATGCTTATGCCTGTCAAGTGGGTGTACATATCTGATTACTTTGGTTTTATTAATGAGTAAACTAAATAATCAAAAATTTTTCTGATATGATCCCATTTTCATTCTTCTTGGAAATACCACTTGAGAATTTAAAGCACTGCCAAGTAGAGTAAAGGAAGCCCTTTGGAAGTTGTGTGTTGTCAAATATAGTGTTTTAGAAAGGCTAAAACAAATGTTACTAAAATGTAAAGCAGATGATAAGTTAAAACAACTAGAGTTACGGAGTCATTCTTCTTGATCTTTGGAATAATTTGTTATTGAAACCAATTTTTTGAAACAGAACTAGGTTGTTTTCTGTGTTATTAGGGCAAAAACACCTCTCTGTTACAGTGGTTTGCTTTTTAATAGGATTTAACCATAATTGCCCAGTTTGTGCTTCTAGTTCAAAATAGTTCCACCTCAGGTTGGTCAGCTTTTGTTGGCTTAATTTCAGTTGCTACCAGCATTCAATAGAAATGCTTCTTTAACCTTGTCTTTCAGTGAATAACATTTGTATCATAACAGATTTGTTTGTTAAATGAATTCAAAGAGAGATAGGGGACCCAGTATTGAAGATGAGTCACTTTCCAGTCTGTACTGAACCATCTTTCTTTCTAAACTGTCCTATTTTGATCTAAGGGAATATTTTCACCAGAAACTACAGCTCTATGGTGTGCATCAGTATGATCCCAGTTTTTGTGCCACTGAGTCTGCTTGTTCCTGTTTAAACAAATAGCAAATGTCATGAGAAATTCCATAGCCTTGCTTGTTTCAGCATTAGTTTTGATGTATTTGTTGATTCCTTTGGCTATGTGAGCAAGGAATACTGATTTGCACTTGTATCATATAAAGTAGTAAAGATGACAAGAAGTATTTTCCAAATGTCAATAACGTACTTTCTATCTGTTTTTTTTTTTTCCTAAGCACATTTGCTAGTCTCTCTTGCATATTAGCTTTCCTCATAGTTGTTTGCCTTTTTGTCCTTCCTGCCCTTAAATCCCTCAGTTACACTAGGTTGATGGAAATTGTTTAAATGTACAACCCAAATTCTCCAGTGAGGTTTGGCTAACCAGCAAGTTATTCAAGTGGTTTTGTCTCCCGGGTATGTCTTCATCCTCTGCTTTTCCAGGTTGCTTGAATATCCTTGAACCCATAATTTACCCTAATCTCCTCTAAGGCTTTGAAATAATAAAATACTTAAATAAAACTCTTTGGATAAATGCCCTTTAAAATATAGCTTTATCTGTGAACTATCATGCTCTCAAGGGAGTGGACTTTGTTCTTCAGACGATTAAGGGGATTTCTGTCCACTGTGTTACTGTAGTTTGTCCTCTGCGATCAGGCATGCCCATCTTAACTCCTGCAGCAGCTCAAAACAGATGAGGAAACTCTGGGAGAAAAACGCTACAGAGGCTAGACTGTTTCTGTCTGTGATTTCTTTTCTGCTGCCTGAGTTCAGTTTCCTGACCTACTGCATGATTTTCTGTGGATCACAAAGCCTTCCTACGCTTTTGAAAAAATAATTCTCTGCTCAACAGGGATGTTGCTGAGGATAAATTAAGGGTGGCAAAGTGCCTAGCCATTACAGAGGGGTAGCCTTATACATGCAGAAAGGCTCTACTCAGATCCCGACTTCACAAAATAGAAAGAGGGAGATCACGACTTGTCATCACCAAATCCACAGGGGAAGTCCAAGGCAAAGCAGAGGACTGGATCCAATTTTTTCTGCCAGGGGCCCCATGTAGTCCTTTTTTTGTTGAAAATTCCTTTTTGTAGTCCTACCTAGGCCTAAACCTGGAGTCCTGCAGGTCTTGCCTCCTAGGCAAGAAAGGGAGGCTTGGAGTATCTCACCAGGGCTCCTACATTGCAGCTCATAAAGACACTCGTGCAGGCCCTGGAGACCAACATAATTTGTAGGTTGTTCAGGGTCACGGGTCCCTGTCTTTACTGTTGCTCATTTTGTGGGTAAAGGGAGATGACTTTAGTTTTTCTCCTTTCCCGTGCAGCTCAGCTGATTATTAATTTCTGAGAGCAAGAAGGATCTGCAAAATAACACCAAAATATGGGGAAAAGGAGCATCTGTCCTTCACTTCTGGAACTCTGTAGCTAAATTCTATGAAGAAAGATTTGGGGGTTTTGTATAATTTGTGAGTAAATTGCTTCTGAAACTAATTATTCTTTAAAATGAAAAATTGTTCAAAAACATTGGGAAAAGGAACTTCCATTTTTATCTCAGTGTGCCATTAAAATATAAAAATTTTGGTAAAAATCCAACCATATGACTGTTATTTTAAAGTGATACCTTTGAGATAATCTCTCCCTTTTCAGGCATACTTTCCAGAGAGACATCTGTATTTCCTCATGTTAAGTGATAGGGAATACAAATAGACCACAGCTTAAGTATGAAGATTATGGAGATTTATAAGTCTGATTATACATTTTTTGTGTGAAATAAAATGCAGGGAAACTATACATATCAATTTTTTTTTTTTTAGCCCAATTACGGCTCTTTGTTCTCTTTTTTTTTCCTTGAAATTTTATTCCTACTTGTTTTAGTTTCTTATCTGAAGTTCAAAATTTTCTGTATCTGAGGTTCATTGTCATGAAGTAGCACCAATGAAAACAGTGCTTCAGTTGGATGAAGCACTCTCAGGCACCTTTTAATGCTCAGAAGAATGATTGCCTCCTGGTAGCTGTATGCCTTGCTTAATTTTGTGCTTGTTCAGAAAAAGCAAAAGGATAGAGAAATTCATCTGAGGATTTGCTTGAGTTCAGCTTCTTCCTTATCTCTGCTTTTCAAGAGCTCAGAAGATAAAGTACTATCCTTGCTGTTGTCTATCTTTGTGTTTGGCTGGCACATAGTGGCTTCAGAACCAATTATTTCTTCTGGCAGCATGTTTCAAGGTGAGGAGCTCCTGCTTTTCACGGTGCTGAGGATGATGCCAAACTCACAAGTCTTGCCTGCAGTCTTTGGGGTAAAGAAATGAACAGTTAGGCTGAGTTCAGTGTGGCTTTGAGGCAGAACTAGAAAGAGCAGCATTGAAATTCACAGTGAGAATATTTATGTTAAAAATCTTACTTGAGTCTTAGAACAGACTTTTCAGCTCTTTATTGCAGAATAGTTAATACACATCTAATAAAGTAGATAAGTGTCCATTGCTGTTTCATTTTTGTTGTGAAAAATGTTTCTGCCATCACCATTTTTGTTGTTGTTTTGAGCTTAATAATGATTGAAGGAGACTCAGAGACTTCCTGATTGAGATACTGCATTTCATGTATGTTATTGAAATGTTGCAGTCGCTGCCATTTCAAAGCAGCAGCTGAACAATCCCAGATATGACGAATCAGCTAGTATTTGAATAGACTAAAAAGGCACAGCTTTCTTTTCAGTTTTGGGTAATATTTGTGTCTTCCCTGGGGAAGGAAATCACTGAATGGTTTTCACATGGGAATAACATTCCTATAGCGTTACTTTTTTTTTTTTCCCCCCTAGTTTTTGAGAGTGGACCAAGATAAAGACAGAGAATGCAGCCTGGACTGTGCAGGTTCCCCTCAGAAATCACTCTGTGCATCTGATGGAAGAACTTTTCTGTCCCGGTGTGAATTTCAACGAGCAAAATGCAAAGACCCTCAACTGGAAATAGCCTACCGAGGCAATTGCAAAGGTGAGGAAGTCAAACTTTCTCTTGACCATAATTAAAAATAATACACCCTAAAATTATTTTTGGAAATGTCTGATATTGAAGACTAGGAGTGTTGGACTTGAAGAGTTTTCTAAAACAAGTAGGTTGAAATCCACCCTGTTATTTCCATGGCAATAGCCATGTAAAGATAAATTAATCCTGAACCTTCATCAGAATTATGACACCCACACCCATTTATACTATAGTAAGTCATTATTAAGGAAACTACATGGTTAAGTCCTTGTTCTGAAGTACCATATTACTGGCAAGCTCAGAGAAACTCTTAAGATTGTTATCTTGCAAGGTTTCGTGCCTTCTGCGCTTTGGTATTTTGAGTTAGAGATGGTCAAATTAAGTCTTGCATATCCAAACTGCAGTCCTTCAGATGGGGGTGGTGGTGGAGTGAATTTAAAAAAGGAGAAAAAAAAGCTTTGTTATGCATAGAGCCCTCTCAGGCCATTCCTACGTTCCTATCATCCACTCTTTTACTTCTGATCTCTGTTTAGAGAAATTGTGTGACACGCAAACGTACAAAATATCTGTCATTAAATCGTTTCACTTTTAGAGTAGTGTGGTGCTACAGAATGTATTTCCTTACTGAAGTGTAAGGTGATTCCCAACACAACGGTCTTCTTTCTAAAATGCAATAATAGTAGTGATTATAAAGATTTACTTTCCCTTTTTCTCTGTCTAAAGAGAAGGGGCAGGGTGTGGAGGTGGGGGTTGAGGGGAAGAAAACCCCAGGGACCACACCAATTCAACCTGTAGGAGGCAATTTTCCACATCATCTCTCTCCATTAGCTCCAGAAAACCTCTGAAGCATCAAGACTGCTTCAAAGAGACATTCTGTCTCATCTTCTGCCTAGATGAAATAGTATCCTCATTCTTCAGCCCTTTCATAGTAAGCCATTGTATTACCTGATGGATCTATTTACTTTGGTGAACAAGGATAACATAATGAAGCTACCTGAGCCAAAGCTTTTATTACACTCATGAATGACAGAGGGAATTATTGTGAAGCTTGTATTTGTTCATTTTATATGTTAGAGCACTATACATCTTTATGGAAATTAGTTTTGAGAGTTTTTCTCTGTTGTTTTTTATACCTTATTGAAAATATCATCTGCAAGGTTTTTTTTCATAAAGATGTGGATTGACCTACTAAATTTTCCTCAGTGATGCTGTCAAATTTTTCTGCAGTCAGTAACTGCAATTTGGAGAAGTGCTCCTTTGCTTTTTATTATTAATGGATAGAGTGACAGTACAATTGTAGAACTTGAATTAGACACCATAGGCAGTGCATTGTTAATAGCAAATACTAATTGTGTTCTCCTCAATCACATATTTTTAATCTTACAATTAAATTAATACAAAAATCACTCTAATGTTTAAATATTTTTCTTTTGCATCAAAATAGACACATATTTGCCAATAATATAGTTGGTCAATGCCAGCAAGAGACTGATGTTCTTTTAATTCTACATTTTCATAGTATTTCTTTTTCAGTCAAAGCAGTCTTAAATTTTGAAGTGACCAGTATCTCTATTTCTACCCATGGTTGCAATCATCAGAAGTATTTCAAGCTGTAAAAACAAGTTTTAGTGAAGAGAAAGATGATTTGTTGACCTTGCTGCAGTTTGAGTTTCAGCATTACTAGATCTACTTCTATAGTCTCATCAAACATTCTGAAAGAGCTAAATCCTCAGATTAAGACCTCTTTTGAGCGAGTTGCTTTTGAGTGGTGAAATTTGTTGTTGCAGGTGATGCTTGATGAAAAAGCAGAGGGCTGTTTTAGTACAGCTAACCAAAAAGTGATGATTTAATTTCAGAACAACTTTCAAGGTTTCAGAATTTGCTTTCATTCCATGATGGAATGAAAACAGATCAGAAGTGTTCATCTGCCCCCCTAAAAAAACAGACACCCACCCTAACTCCTCATTAAAGCATTGGTTTTGAAGCAGATTTCGAGGTTGCTAATGCAGGAAAAAGGGAAAGAAACACACGTTTGCATATGTAAGTTCTGAAGGGAGAAAAGAGATTATTTTGGTATAGGTCTCATAACTCTAAATCTGATATTCATCCAATATTGTTCAGAAAAGGCAATCTTAAATCTATGTTTGTCTCCTCCTTTCTTCTTTTGAGGTAAAAATCTTTATTCAACTCACAAAAATCTTCTCTGAAAATTAAATATTTCCAGGTTCCATTTTAATTAGTTGCAAATATGGTGATGAGCTCTTTGTTTGGTTCAGTCTATTCAAAAGAAATCTAAGGACCTTGACAGTTTATGTTGACAATCTTTTAGATTAATTTTGAGTCCATCATTTCTTGTTTATATATACAGAACTGTGGTTTGTTTTTATATCCATAAGGAAGTTTGAACAGGCACCAGATGGATGTCTGTTTTCTCTGCTTCTTTTTTCCTTAGAAAGTCAAATTTAGATTGATTCTTTCTTCTGTGTCTCACCAGTTCTCAACAATTTTCTCATCTATCTGGTTTTGATCACTTAAACATTAAAATTACAAAGGGATAGTTTGCTTTATGTGTGCTTCTTTTCCCCTCTAATTCAAGTTTCATGCATAGTAAGAGTTCCCAGCCCAGATAATTCTTCAGAATTGCAAAGGAAACAATTTTAAGATCTTAGATCTTAAAAAATCACAATAAACTGATAGCATTTAAACCATTTTTCCCCCTTGCACTTCGGTTCTAGTTCCGGATGGCTATAGCAGAGATCAAAATAGTTTAACCAAACCTGAAAATGAATGAACTGTGAATCTTCCCCTCAGTTCTGAAAAACTCACCTTTGACAAAATAAGTATCAAAATAGACTGTTCTGATAGTGCTTTTTTTCTGAAGACATTTGTTTAGTTATTTTTTTTTGAACTCCACTTCCAGGCAATACTGGAATCCATTGCTAAGCTTGGAAATGCTATTAGAAGTTAAAATCTTATAAAATTACGAGCTTGCTTTTGCAGTTTCTAAGGTCTCAAGTAATCTGTGTACACTGTAGATGAACATCCACATTTTTGGATACTTTTCCAAAAAAAATCTTAACTCTGAATTTCTGGAGTTTTGCCACTTGCTCGACACAGACGTTTACTGTGCAACAAGATTATGAATCTAAAAAATAAATGTATGCTGACAGCTGAGAAATACTGTTTGTGTTAGGGGGACTGTTAAAATATCACCTGTCACGGGGATCAACTACACGCACACACAAATGCTTCACAGTCCAAATCTGGACCAGCATAGCCAAGGAAACAAAACATACAAGAAGTGGAAAAGCAATACGATTGCTTTTAAACTGCTCACAAAAACACAGGCACTATGTCTAACAAATTAATTAAGCAGGGCAAGGACACAGTATGAGCACCCACACGTAAGCTTCCTGTTGCACTCTGAGGCATGGACAGGTAGAGCTTTCCCGAGGACTGTATCTATCTGGCTCAGGTAAAAGACGGGCCAAAGAGTGTTACCAGCAGACAGCATGCACAGAGGTACCTCCTTTTAGGGGCTTAGGACTGTGCAGCCTGAGAACTGAGCCTAGCTGCTCTCACTGAACTCTCCTGATGCATGCCAGGGAGGATCTATTCCTATAACTAATACAAACTCAGGGAAGAGTTCTTTAGCACTAAACCTTATTCCTACCACTACAGCTGGTGAGGATGGGACTGGAGAGTTCTGAATGTCACAAAAGGAAGGCTTTGTAATTTATGTAATGGAGCCTTTGATACTCTTTTTTAGAGCATGCAAAAAGTACAGCTTGAAGTTCCTTAGTCTTGAAAATAGGACCAACCATGCAGAAGTATCATGTCTACAAAAAAACCCCAAATGATGCAGTTGGCTGGTATGAGTAGGAAGTATTGCCCATCAGTGCGTTCTTCCATAGGGCCAGTAGCTATAGTTTTACATTTAGTGGGGATTTTACATGATTTGGAACATGGTATAGATTACTCTGAAAGGCTGTGCTTGTACTGAAACTGAAACGCACAAAACATCAGCCAAAATCGTCTTCCTCAGCAGGCATGGGAAAGGCCTTGCTAAGTGAAGATCTGTGTCCTTATTTTACAAAAGTAAGGCTGAATATCTGTCACAAATTGCTATAGATAAGACTACTTGAAACAAGTTGTTTTGTCTTTTTCATTGAGCATTTGTACATTCCACATGAAGAGTCTAGGGATTTTTTCCCCTTTTCTTCTTTGTTAACTGCTCAGAATGACAGTAAAATTTGCTTATATCACTATAAGAATTTTCTGTTGTCATGAAAATTTTACATCATCTATACGAGAGAAAAAGAGTGTTTCAACTAATTTCTATAGACTTCTATCAGTTTCACCTATGTTAAATTGCTACACTGTTTATTTTCCCCTTCTGAGCAAGGTTTTCTTCTGATGAACTTTGAACTTGTATTTTTGTAATAGTTTTCAAATAACTTTAGGCTTTTCGTTTAGTTTTCTGTGACAGTAAATAACATGTATTAACTTTGATGCATGAAATTATGATGCAGAGTAGAGGTGAGTGAGATTGCAGGATTTTGCAATGAAATGTACCTTTTTTTTGACATGACAGCAAGCTTTATTCCTAACTGGGTTAGTGGAGGATTTTCTATGGGACTAATGAAGTTTTTTAGGTACCAGAAACTTTGAATAACTCTATTCCTGTGGGACAGGACAGCTTTTCTTCTCCCACCTCGGGAACTTTCAGTCCCAAGGGTAGAAAGTGTGCCAGCTGATTGCATAGTGTTCATTGTGAGCAATATCTTCAACAAGAGTGTCTAGTAGAGGGACAATAGTGTTTATCTCTAATGAACCGTCAAGTGCATGGTGACTCATGGCCAACAGTAGTTCAATCTGCAGTTTTTCTAATGTTGAAGGGTGTAGTTTGAACTTTATGCATTTAAGCTCTTTATATGAATGTTTGCCAAAATTTAGGAAGTTTGTCAGGAGGAAGCAGAAGAACATGTGTAATCTTGTGACTGAATTTT